ATGTAATTAAACATAGAGGGAGAATAGAGATAACGATAGGTTTCGTTTGTCAATTCGAATTGGATGTTGAGTCACATATACATTCGTATGAATAAGAGCGTTCATGTCCAGCAGTATTGAGCAGTAATCAAAACACAAATGAAAAACGGCATAGTTTAATAACTCTGAATTCATCTGTTTGAATTCAATCGAAATTGGTGCAACATTCAATTCATTCATCATTGAATTTGGTGCTATTGAGAAAAAAATTTAGGGCCCCGGAAAATTTTTGCTTCAGGGCCGAAAGTGCTAAGACGGCACTGATATAGGCTCAATTGCTTAAATTGTCCAGAAATTTGTAGAAAAATTCAGGCGCAGAGAGCGCCGAAAGCGTTTGATCAGCCTTGTGAGAATATATGAAAAATTTCGCCGAAAATTTAGGGCGCTTGAGCGCTCAGTATTATGGAAAAATGGAAAAAATGGAACGCTTAGAGCGCTTTAGTTTCGCAATTTATAACCAGGACATGTATAAAAATAAATAGAACAACGCTCGCGAAAAAGTAAATTTTGTTCATGATGACTTTTTTCGAGTGAAAATCTTCTCATTTGAATATTAGAATATTCAGCGTGAGATGTATTCAAAAGGGCGCCAAAATCGAAGATCATGATGTCCAATGTTCAACTTACTGGATTATATTCAAGTGTCGCTTGTATTTCAAGCGCCTTTTTCCAATATCAAAATATAAACAATAAGATTTCAGTACATATTCAACTGATTACAAAATATATTCAATTATTTTGAGCACCCTTTTTCATGTAACTCTCAGTAAGCATGTGTATTCAAGGGCTATATTTTTGAAATGACAAAAAATTGAGCTCGCGCGCCTTTGGCGCGCTCGCAGTAATGTATGATATTTTCAATGTATCTAAAACGCAAATTTTCAGTATCACATAAGGTAGATATCTTGCTAATATCGTTGGATTTTTTCTTTCGTGCGTTTCATATATATACGAAACAGTGTATTGTAAACCATATTATGAAGTTCATAAACAATGAACAATAACCAAAGTGTACAGAACTTTTCTAACAAGAAAGTTACTCATTTTGAGAAAATTTTTATTTTAATTATTTTCGTTCCTCCTAAGAAAAGGGCGCCCTGTCAATTTTGCACCAGGGCGCAAAGAGCGCACGGACAGGCTCTGTTTACACTAAATCCATATTTTGGATAAGTTCATTGAATAAACGTTCAATGAGCAAGTGACAGAACGTTTATTTGCTGTCAATGCGCTTGATCAACGAATAGAGGTGTCAACGGTCAAAATTTTGTCCGTCCGTCCGTCCGGAAAATTTTTGGAAAAATTCGGACGTCCGGTCCGAATGTCCGAACTTTTTGAAATTTCTCGGACGTCCGAAAAAATCAAAAGAAAATTGGATAAGAATACGCACCGTATTCTTCTTCGGCGACATTTTTGCATTTATTGGTTGGAAAACTCTCGAAAAAAAGTTCTCTGGTTTGAACTTTCCCCGATTTCCGACAGTAGTGCTTTTCCGAGACTTTTCCAACCAAAAAATGCAAAAGTGTCGCTGCGTATTCTTATCAATTTTTTTTTTTTGATTTTTTCGGACGTCCGAGAAATTTCAAAAAGTTCGGACAAAACCGCTTGTCCGTCCGTCCGTCCGAAAAAAAATTCGGACATTCGGACCGGACGTCCGAAAATTATTTTCGGTTTCCGGACATTCGGACCGGACGTCCGAAAAAAAATTTCGATTTTTGGACGGACACCATGTCCGAATTTTTGTCCGTGTCCGTTGACACCTCTATCAACGAACTTATCCAAAACTTGGTTAGAGTGTAAAAGTAAATGCCAAAATTTTGTTAGTTTGCATTTTTTGATTCACCACCAAAACGAATATTATTAGATTTCTAAGAAATATTCTTAAATTACAACAAATTCGCTACACAAAAACCCTATTTTTGTATAGAAAAGATTCTACTACACAAGTGTGGGAGAAAAACACCACAGATCATCTGAGTGTGTAGGGGAGACATGTGTAGGTTGACCCGCACTAATCATTTTGATCATAACTTTTTGATTAAAAATTTTAGTCAACTTTCTGAGTGGCCGTGTAAGTTGACCCACCCAAAAAAATTAGAAAAACATGCAGTGTATGCAACACTCAATGTATGAAATTTATTGAATTTTATTGATTTTTCAATCTTTTTTGGTCTTTATAAAGATTTCTATAGAAATACGAAAACCAATGGTAAAATATTCGTAAAATATGCAAAAATATAGAAATAGAAAGTATGTAAAAAAAATCACATATTCTGTATTTTTTCGTTATCATTTTTTTTTCGTGTTTCTCAAGATGTTTGGAAGTTCATGAAAATTCAATAAATTTTGTATATTGAATGTTTACGTGTGTTTACACGGTGGTGTTGAACGCGGCCCGTTCATCTTGAAACATGTTTTTTCTGAGCCTACTCGTCGAGACCTTTCCAACAAGCCCAAGAACGTCGAAATGGGACCATCCGTTCATGAGTTATGACGATTTGAAAATTATTCCCACCAATTATTCTGAGATAATATTTTTTCTGTCCGTCCGTCCGTCCGTAGTTTTTACCCGATCTTTTTAAATCAAAACTAAGACTATCAAAAACTAAGACTTTTTTGTTCCGCCATTTTTTTATTTGGCCGCCATCTTGGCCTTGGCCGGCCTTTGAAAATTCAAAATATGGCCTTCCTTTCAATGGCCGCTGTACCTAAACCACTGAATTGATCCCAGGCTTTTAGGTATCGTTGGAAAGGTCTTGAGGCCAGCTATCGAATGACACCTATTTAAAGTTGAAAAAATTAGGTTGGCATAGTCTTATGGGCTGAAAACCCAAAAAATGGTCACCTGGCCTTGCACAAATCGGCCATTTTCTCGAAAACGGCTCCGGCGATTTTTTTCAAAATTGCCTCAAATATAGCCCCAAATTAGAGCTAAAATTTGACATATAGCTTATATCTGGCAAAACTCTGTTTTTCGGGATATAGCCATTAGAAGTTGGAAAAAACATGAAAAATCGACAAAAATCAACTAAAACTCATTTTTGTTGCCGTGAATAAGGGCAAAATCATAACCAAAGTGTTTTTGCGTTCAAATGAATAAAATTCTTCCGGAACCAAGCCCTTCACCAAGTCTTTTTATACCACGCAATCAACGAAAAACACAAAAAGTACTTTTCATGAAAAAATCAAAATAAAAGGGATTCATCATGAAAAAACTAAACATGTGATAGTTTCTTGGTATAAAAGATATGTAATTTCATCAAAACAAAATGTAATTTCATCTGTCTGTCCAAAAACCAAATTTTATTTAACGAAAAAAAAATTAAATAAAACGAATTACATACGTAATCCAAACTTTTCCGCTCCGCAGCAATTTAGTTTACCTCCCGCTTAATGTTTAACCAAAATTTCATTGAAAACTTTTTTCATAGCACTTTTGAAAAATCACTATTTCAACCATTTCCATATAAAAGTGAGGGAATTTCAAAAATGTCAAGAAATGTCGAATTTGGATCAAATTTATGGGCAATTATTATGGTGTTCGGTTGTTCACAGACCCCCATTATTTTTGCAAGAAAATGACAGTTTGCTTTGAATAAAACCCTAAAAAAATGCCTTTTTGAGTGACTCCCATACAAATGTACCATTTTTTGAGGGTTTTTCTTAGGAGAGGTACCCCAAGGTCACATCGGATATGGCTCAAAATCAATGGGAAGCTTTGTCTCGACATGTCAAAAATTTTCATGTTTACAGATTTCAATTATTTCGTGAACTTTTTGAGTTATCGCGATAACAAAAAAATTTGCACGCGGACGACGACATAACACATCGCATTTTTTCAAATTTTTCATAGTAAACAACATATTTTTGGGGACAGATAGGTCTTGATCGATAGGATTTGTTCCCATCTACAATTGCCTAGTGTACATTTAAATGCTATTCGAAGTCTTTCGTGGAGTTTTTGTGGTTGGAACGTGAAGGAGTCATGAAATTTTGGGCACCAAAACCATTACTTTTCCTAGAACAACTTCGTTGTGCGGAAAAGTAATTTTTTTTCCTCCGGTGTGCGACTCGAACTCGATTCCACACGCTCATTAGTCTGCTTTCCTACCTACGCCCTGATTTTACTTTATTCAAAAAGGCGACAATGCTGGTTTTTAACTACAACATTTCATGTTTCATTTTCTTTGGCTCAATACACACCACTTTGTGTTTGTTTAGGGTTATTTGGTTTTGTTGAAAAAAACAATTTCGGGTACAAAACAACTGATATCAAATGAAAAAACTTCTTTCGAAGTAATTCCTCGTGACGAAAGCGAACACAAAACAGCTGATATCAATTTTAAAAAATCATTTCGGAGCGATTCGGATTTGCTTTTTTTGAATTCTTCCAACTAATTTCAGCATCGCACCGTAATGATTTTTTAAAATTGATATCAGCTGTTTTGTGTTCGCTTTCGTCACGAGGAATTACTTCGAAAGAAGTTTTTTTATTTGATTATGAAAACACATGAAAAACTAGTAAAGAAAACGTATGCTCGCTTTGCTGATATCTTTGAAATCGTATACTTGATGATGGTCCGGAAAAATTTAGTTTTAAAAAAAACGACTTTTTTTGCATGATTTTTTTTGTGGGCCGGTTCGAGCTAATTAAAAGGCGTTTTCACTCTCAGTGGTTTTTGACGTTTCTAAATCGATTGAAACTAGCCAACTTGATGTTTTGTCTGTCAAAATATGAGATCGGTGCGGTGTGTCAACTTACACACGCTCTCCCTATATATTTTTTTATTATTTGCATTTTATCAGTACAAAAGCGTCACCTTCAAAGGATCACCGGCAAATGGATCCACTTCCATTGAAACTTCTCCATCGTAACCACGATTCAAAAGTAATTTTTTGAAACCTATTTCATGATTGAATGAACGATTTAAATTATAGATTACATTTAGACGTATTATTGTTACCTGAGTAATCATAGCGTTTGGGTCCCATCCATCGAAATTTCTCACTTTCAATAGCTACATCACCGAGGAATCCGTATGACATAACACTTGCGTAAAATTTCAACAATGATCCATTTTGATTGCTGACACTAGAAAGATCCAAACCATTCACAAAACCCAACGCAATTGTAATAGTGATGGTACGAACATCGCATGTGCCATTCAAACAATATGCCACGGTGTCAGTACTGCCAGCTGGAATTATACCGAGTGGTTTTTCGTTTATCTTTGGAATCTCATCCAAATTGCTGAAGTTTTCATAGCCTGCGAAATGCACACAAATTTTCAATTGATTTTCAAAAAACCTATCTTTGAATCAAATGATGGATACAAATTTAAAAATTAATTTTTTGTTTGAATTTTTATCCGTAAAATCATAGTTAAACTTGAATGCAACCAAAATACTTTTTTACCGAGGTAAAAGTCTAACGTACAGAATTCTTTTTGGACAAAAATAAAAACAATTTTTTTTATTTTCAAATTTAAAATATTTGTGCCACTCAAGGTGACATTCAGAGTTTTTTGTGATTAGTTGCGCATACCCAAGTCCTTGAATGTACGAAATATAATGCCATTGAAAAGTTCTGAGAAGGTACCATCGCCCCCAATGCAAACAATACCATCAAAATGTTCTAACGATTGTGTCATGATGAAGTCACGTATTTGATTTGGACGTTGCGATATGACAACAGAAGCGTCAATACCGGCCGATTGGAATATTGGTTTGACCATACTATCGTAAATACGTAACGCTCGCTTTTTCCCGCCGTATGGATTCACAAACAACAATAAACGCTTCGGACGCGCAACTTGCTCTGTAATGGAAATAATTATTTTTATTTATGATAAACAACGCACACACAGAGAGAAATGATCAAGGAGACACTTTTAATATTGATTTATATCGTTCCTGTTACATGTGAGTTCACGGCATGATGAAAGCAAAATAAAAACGAAATTTTTACTCATTCCTTTTTCATAGAATTTTGATGGAAAATCGATAATATTTCGATACAGCAATGCACTACTATACAACGATTACTGGTCGTTGGATGGTGATAACTTTTGTAATTTGTGTTAAAAT